TGCAAGCAAGCGACTGCTTGAGGAGGAGTTTGTTGGGTGCAAAACATTATTTTTGCACTGCAACCAGCCGCCTGCATGACGTTATGCATTTTGTGTGTGTTCTGTGTGCATTCGTTTTCGCATTCCGTTTCATGTGTTGTTGCTGTGGGATCATGATCAGTCATGACGGATCATGACGAGTCATGTTCGTTCATTTCGGCTCATGTTTGTTCATGTCGGCTCATGTCCGCTCATGTTTGTTTTCATCGACGAACATGTGCGTTCATGAAAGTTCTGTGTTGCATGAATGTTTTATGTTTCATGAATGTCGAGTTTTTTCATGAAGGTTGGTTGTGAGTTTCGAGTGTGTTTGTGTTTGGGGCTCGATAGTTTGACCAGCCCATTGACCACTTCGCGCTGGTCAACTAAAAAGTGCGCGAAGGCAGGACCCGCGCGTGGGGTCCTGACACACGCATGTGTCCTGACAGAACATGCACGTGTGTCGCCAATGTTTCGATCGTGTACTGTACGCAAGATCGCTACAGAACGAAGCGACATGATCGCCTTGTCACGTGCAGGACAACGCACGATCGCGTCAGCGATTGTTTTGTCCTGCACGGCCGAGAAATATATCGGTCGTGAAGAGGGGCACGTGGGGCACTCGAGATTGCGGTTGACTAACGGGATTTCGCGCTGACTTGGCGTGCACGAAAATTCGCCAGAAAGTCGCGCTGCTTTGCGTCGCTATTTCGACAGAGGTACAAAACGGTAAAGTCCGTTTGTAACTGAAGAAAACGGTAAACCCACACGAGTGTTCATGATTTGTACACGAGCGATCATGAATGTTCACGAGGGGAGTCAGCAAGAGAATTTGGCAGCAGTGCAGTGGAAGACAGTTATTCTACTGAGGCAGATCAAGCCAAATTCAGGAGCAGTTTAACAACCGTTTTCAATGACAGCAAGGCAACGACTTGGACGACAGTTAGACAACTGCCTTGTGTGTTTCCTTTGTGTGCTTTGGATCTGAGATATATGTGTGCTTGTATTTTCTTTCAACACAACAATGCTTTTATGATTTTCAAGCCTACCATCTACTACTACGTATTGACGAGAGTAGATACACAACGAACTTCTGCTGAAACTCTGCTCAACCAGAACACTCATTCTACAAGCTAAGCGTGGCATAACTACTCACTTGGTTCACAAGTGATGTTAAGTGTTGCCTAGTTTATGTTTGTGGTAGTGAGTTAATCGCTCCCACATAGTACTTAGAATTAACAGTGCGAACTCTGCCGAAAGAGTTGCAGGGTCACCCCCAGCGCCCCCTTCACTACCAGCAGCGCTTGCGCAGTGAGAGTTGGGGTGAGAGGTGTGAGGGGAGAGAACGGGAGGGGCAGGGATGGGAGGAAGGGGAGGGTTGAGTAACAGAGATTGTGGGAGAGAGGATGGGCGGAGAAGAGAGCTGGTGGGATGGAGTGAGGATGGTGGACGGAGTGAAGGTAAAGTTACTGGATTTAACTCTCATAAGTAGAGTGAGAGAAGTCCACAAACGAGAGACTAGCTTGTGACAGCACAAGGCAATAGCATCCATGTGCCTCTCGGACCATCTCACCATCGGTCGCTTGGATTGTGACCACCGGTGCTTCTGAAGTGAGCAGTGGTAGGGAGAAGGGCAAGCACGATGGGAGGAATGAGGGCGGTGAGGGAAGGGAGAGTAGAGATGGATGAATAGAGCCGTTAAAGAATTGAGATGGATAGCCAGGGCCATGACAGTGATTCCCCATTCTTCCAGTTTTTGTGAAAGGCATCAAAGCACACAATACCACATGGCATGAAGCACTACTGGAATATTCCACGGCCCACCACGACATGACACAACTCAACACCACCACGTGCCATGACTCACCAGCGCAGTACATGCGAGGAGGGTCCATGTCATTAGCATGCACGGTTCTGCCATCCACATTCGGCAGGCACAGCCCTCCGAAGCACAGCAAGTCCTGCCCGTCCTCTGACTCGCATATCGCACAGTCCTCGGGATCCCTCTGAGCCACAGCGCTTGCCTCGCTGCACGCCAGAGCATCCGCCAGGCAGTTGCTGCTCGCGTCACACCTCGTCAGCGAAGCTGCTGGGAAGCTTCCCACAAGGAAGTTGTCTTGCAAGTCGAGGTCGAGGAGAGAGGTGGGCAGGGCTGGCACCATCCTGGTCAGTGCGTTTGCATGCAGGTCCCTGGAGGTAGATTGTTCGGGTGGTTCAGATATGTTGATTCAGAATGGCATGAGCATAGTACCAAACCAAAGTTCGGTTCAGTCAAACCAGTTTGAGACCTTTTGTTTAACCAAAACATTCTAGTGAAACTGGTTCAATTCGGTTTGCCTACAGGTGGCGAGGTGCACCCAAACTGATCCTGACACCCGAAGCCGCTCATTTGACACCCAGTCAAACCAAACAGCAACGACTCAAACCTTCAAAGGTTTGAGTACAAAAGTGGAACCTCAAACCGCTTTGGCTTGGGTCGACTATGAGGCAAGCTCAACCAAGTTCGACCCGAATATGTGTTGCTGTTTTTTGTCAAACAGTTTGACTCAGTTCAATGGTCTATCATATTCATGACAATCCCCTTTTTAGGCATTTTTTGAAGGAATGAATCGGGGTAATCTAACCTAGTCGCTGTAAGATAGGTTACGTTGGCCATCTCAGGAAAATATTCTGTTGAATTTGCCGGAATTCGTGAATATATATAAAAGAAGCTAGGAAGCCAAGTGGAAAGTTTTATCTGTTTTTTTAATCTGAAACATAAAAGTACCTTTTCAACAAGCCAAGAGATAAATCCTTTAAACTTGGTCTGAAGGGGGCGAAAGATTGTAGGAGGAACGTGGAGAACTTACTGTGCTCTGTATTACTTATTTCTGGGGTTAAGGCGAAACGTGTGCGACCTGAGTTGCCACGTAGAACCGGCCTCAGGGCCGCCAAACCACCGGAACGTTACACTGAATATCAGGTCAGTCTAACTGAACCAGAGCCCAATGGACTGCCTTTGAACCGAAACGCATGGAAAGGACACGTGGATGAATGCGGTGGTGGATTCTTGGATCTATTTGACATCTGCCAGGTTATAACCTATACATCATCATCCAGCCTGGGGGCGATTACAATGTGTGATTGGGGAGCGTAGGGTTTCTTACAGGTAGATGAGGGCGGGCAGGGAGACGAGGGCAGATGGAATGGAGCCCGTGAACCAGTTGTTATTGAGATGGCTGCAAGGAGAAAATAAGAAAAGATGGTATGGAGTGGAAAGAAGGATGCAAGGGAAAGAGGTAAGGGAGATGAGGGACAGGGGGGGGAAGGATACGGGAGAGAAAGGGGAAAACAGGGCAGTGGAAACGGAGCAGGAGGAAAGATAGCAGAATAAGGAAACTTAGCAGAATAAGTAGAGGAATCAGAGTAAGGGAAGGGGGAAGAATGATGGAAGGTAGAGCATGGAGGCAAGGTAGCGGAAGGAGGTGTGGGAGAGGAAGCAAGAAGGGTAATTGTGAGGGAGGCTGGAAGAGGGGAGCCTAGTAAAACCATTGAAACAAGCTGAATACGAGGTGGGATATTGGACAAAGGTTGGTGCAGAAATGGGCAGCCTAAAAGAATGGTATGGTGAATTTATTTCAATTATTGTAACGAAAGATAACTGTGAATACACGTCCGTGTCCCCTGGGGATTGCAATTTGCATCGCCGTGTTGGAGCCCCTTGTGGAGCTCCCATAGGCTAAGCTTGCTAGTCAGATGTAGGATGCCATGCCATACCTTTATCCTTTGTGTACCCCAGTGTCATATTATACGACCATTTGAGAGAGAAAGAATACGAGTTGGATAAACAAGAGGCTGGGACCCGAGAGGGAGGAGAAAAATAGAACTTAAACTCGCGAGATCAGAAGTGGAAAACAGGCGAGGGAACTGACAGTAATGTGAGGGCAGTGAGCTTGGAGATGTCGGCATGCAGGGTGCCACTGAGGGCCATGGAAGACACATTCCTGCACGCAAGCAAGTGGAGTGTGATAGCACCAACGAGAGCATGTGCGATTGGGAGGAAGGGAACATCACGAAAAGACAAACCAACTATTGTGTGTATAGATGGGCCCATGCGAAACAAGACGATATCTTGGCTAGTGATTTGGTACAAAGTTCGTACTATGAACCGAGCCTGTTTGGTCAATGTGATGCAAGGCTCGAGGTTTGGCTATACATTGTCAAACCTTTTAGGGTTCGGCCGAACTGCACAAGATTCGAACCGAACCAAAACAAGTTCAGATCGACTCAAAATCTCGTTACAATCACATTGGAATTAACATGTCTTGTTCTTCCCTCCCATTTTTTTGGAGAAACTTAATGAGCAGGGTCTGAGGGTGTGGGTGATGTAGACACAAGCGAGAAAACAAGATCGATCGGCGCTTCATGAAATTCAAATTCCGGTAGTCATCCTACTGCTAAATCGTGGACAAGAATCATCAAGAACATAGTTACGTAATCCAACCACCCTACTGGTAGCCAGCAAGAATATCAATAGCAAGGTGGCATGTACAAATAGCATCACACACTCATGGTTTCTTGCAACACTCACACACTCATGACGGCCCCAGAAGCGTAGCAGTGCACGCCATTCCAGGTGTCTGCAAGGCTGAGGGCACTACTGTCGATGGTGCAGGAAGAGGCGGCGACCCAAGTGGAGTCTGAGATGCCCAGAGATGACTTGACGCTAAGTAGAGCCGATGCTGGAATGGGGATGGAGAAAGGGGTTGCGGTGGTGGCGGCAGTGGTGGCGGCGGTGGGTAGTTGTTTTGGTGGTAGGAAGACGAGGAGGAGGAGGAGGAGGAGGAGGAGGAGGAGGAGGAGGAGGAGGAGGAGGAGGAGGAGGAGGAGGAGGAGGAGGAGGAGGAAGAGGAGGAGGAGGAGGAGGAGGATGTAGGATTGGGACAGTCATTGCATAGGAAAGGGGGGTGTGCATGAAGGCAAGGGAGGATGAATCGGCGCGCTTAAGAATAGAAGAGAGAAGAAAGGGAGAAGAGAGGGATGTGGATAAGAGGCTCTAGCTGTTGACTACATGAAGAAATGGGGGGGTGAGGGGTGCATTAGAATGTTAAAGCATGGGCTTGTGTTTCTCAAAGAGAATACTCACCTGAGGCAGTACCCATCACGACCACAGGCGAATCTGTACAGCCACACACGGGGGTGCATCCACACACGGGGGTACAGCCACACACAGGGGTATATAGCCACACGTAGATTCAAGGTGAGGGACAAACACATACACAGTCAGGGACAGACGCACAGAGAGGAGAGGGAAGAGTTGAGGTACTCGAGCAGCCCGAAAGTAGATAGTAGGGATCAAGCAGAACGCAGCCAGCCAGCCAGCCAGGGACAGCCAGCCAGAGTCGTCAGCAACGCAGCAGGCATCAGTCAGGGCCACACAGCGCACCAACGCACAGATCCCCCTAGCCGTTGGCAGACCCGCAGATGGCACAGTCTGAGGTGGGGCGCTGCAGCAGACCATAGGAGCGGCAGTAGGAGGAAGAGAGCAAGCAGTTGTGGTCGGCCGCACAACTCTTGAGAGAGAGATTGGGGAAGGAGCCCGAGAGGTAGTTATAGCCCACGTCCAGAGCGACCAGGGAGGTGGAGGGGATGGGCATGGTGCCCGTGAGGTAGTTGGAGAAGAGGTCACTGGGGGGGTGAATGAACACAGGCACGGGGTGAGAAAGAAAGGGTGAACGAACGCAGTCACGATATTGAGATGGGTGGTGTGGGGCTAGAATGAGGGGAGGCTGCCAGAATGTTATGCTCTAGCCTGTAGTGGGGTGCTCTATAGCGAGTACAACCCTTCTAGGGTTTGCTATTTGTATCCTCATTCCTGCTAGTGAAAACCCTCTTTTGCCTAAACTATTTCTTGCTTAGCTAGGGCTTTCCTAGCTATGGCGCCTACTTCTGTCTACTATTTTCACATGGTTTTAGAGCGGTTACGCCCTCGGCCTGTGGGTACTACTGCTTCTGCTGCTACTCGATCTGTCGCATGCCCCGTGGCGTGCGACGCATTCTTCATTCCGGCGCGCGGCGATTTGCACTCTGGCGCGCGCCCCCTTTCTTTTCTGGCGCGCTGCCCCCGCTGCCCCGTCGCGCCACCCAGGGGAGCCGCGCGCGGCCCCCGCCCGTCCGTTGCGATGCCCTGAAGTGTCGCGCGTGGCCCCGCCGCCGTCCGTAGCGCCCCCCCCCCCCCCCCTCGCCGCCTGCAGCAGCCCCGTCGCCGCTGCAGCGGCCCCGTCCCCGCCCGCAGCGGCCCCGTCGCCGCCCGCATCGGCCCCGTCGCCGCCCGTAGCGGCCCCGTTACCGCCCTCCATGGCCCCGTCGCCGCGGGCAGCGGCCCCGTCACCGCCCTCTGTGGCCCCGTCGCCGCCCTCCCGCTGCCCCTTCGTGGCGCCCTGGGGAGCCGCGCGCGGCCCCCCGCTGCCCCGTGGTGGCGCCTTGGGGGCCGCGCGCCGTTCTCCCCGTCGTCCCCCGCGTTCCCTCCCCGTCCCACCCGTTTTAGGGATTGGGGGTGAGGAGTGTGGGGGTGGTGGTTGTGGGGGTGTCCGTTGTACGCCGTACCCTTCTTCTCCTCCTCCTTCGTCTCCCACTGCTGCAGCTGTCGCTGAGGGGGTGGATGAGTGGGAGACTGGGGTTTAGGGTTTAAGGGGGGTGCGTGGGAGTGGAGCTAGGGTTTGAGCAGTGGGCGTGTGTCGAGAGTGTGGGGCAGTTGGGGGAGGTTGAGTGGAGGCAGCAGTCTTGTCGTCAGCAGCAGCAGCAGTCCGGAGGCTACAATCTCCGCTAGTCGCCAGTCGCCCGTGGGTCCGTTGCTCGTCTGCCGCTACTTTTAGCCGCGGGGCCAGTTACTCCAGTAGTCCGGAGCACTGTTCCGGTAGCCACTGAGCCAGCAGCTCGTCTGTGTGTCTGCGGCGTCAGCAGTCGCCTCCCATCTTCTCTCCCCCACAGCTCCTCCTCCTCCTCCTCACTTGCCCGCTGTGATTAGCTCTAGCTTTGCTTATCTGTGTAAACTCCTGCTCTATACCTGCTTTCTCACTGTGCTGATTACACCCCACTTTGGCTATAGGGGTGTGTAAGAATGTTATGCTCTAGCCTGTAGTGGGGTGCTCTATAGCGAGTACAACCCTTTTAGGGTTTGCTATTTGTATCCTCATTCCTTCTAGTGAAAACCCTCTTTTGCCTAAACTGTTTCTTGCCTAGCTAGGGCTTTCCTAGCTATGGCGCCTACTTCTGTCTACTATTTTCACAGAGGCGAGATGCGAGGGAGACAAGAGCGAGAAAGGAGAAAGGGGTAGGAGTGAGCAAGGTGGAATGGGCCAGCAACAAGGCTCCTGCTTGCAACTGCGGAACTTTGAAGCTGTGCATGCCGCTTACAGCGTGGTGAGATTGGGCAGGGAGGCAATGGAGGAGGGAATGGATCCTGCAAACCAGTTGTAGTGGAGGAAGCTGCAGGTGGGTGGTAGGAGACAAAATCCAAGGAAGCATGATGAGGGGACATCAAACAAAATATGCTCTTAGAACCACAAAATAAAAGAAGGGCAGATGTTTGTCCTATCACTGAAATTATATGGATCATGAACCAGGAAGCATTTCATGAGAGGCTGGTATTCACACACGAGAGGCTGGTACACATGGCGCCATCAGACACGAGGCTTGGTACTCACAGCGCCTTGAGGCTGGGGACGGTCTTAAGTGACGCAGAGAACGAGTCAAGGCGGCCTTGGAAGAGGTTGTAGCCAAAGTCACTGGGGCAGGGGGGGCCATGTTAGAATTAGGATTGGCACCAGATTGAGAGGGTTGATTTGTGTATGCCATTTGTGTGTGTGTCATATTGTCCAGCTACCTACTTGGAAGAGGAGCATAGAAGTTACAGTCAATTATAGACAAGGCAGCACTACCTTGGCAATAAAAGCTGGCTTTGGCCTACCTGTGGCACTTCCGATTCGAGCCTTATAGGTAAGTGAGCGCAGTGAGTTTGGAGATGGTCGCTGAAATATACCCCTTGAGACCCTGGCGTGCTAAAGAGCTGAGGGGAGTGATGGGAGAGGCAGAGAGGTGGGGGTTGATAGAGGCAGGGTGGTTAGTATCAGGGGCTGAGAGGAACTGCGATTGCGTCGAAGTTTCAAACATGGTTGTTGTAACAACATGGAAGGCGTTGTAACAGCACACTCACTTCACTCACTCAGAGTGGTAAGAGTTATTGCATCCGAAAGCATTTGAAGTATGTCGGTTGACGGCAAGCTATGGCATGCATGGTTGACGGCAAGATATATTTGGCTGACACATGGGCGTTCACATGTAGAGCACATCCCCAACTTCAACGCCGGACCACGTGGGCAGTGGAGGCTGCTTGCCAACCATTTGGCATGGCACAGTTGCTGCCCACGAGGTGAACGTCACTCCCAGCGATGCCTTGGGCGCCAGCAATGCTGGTGAAGGGGGGAAAGGGGGGGAGAGGGGGAATGAGGAGAGATTGTGGGAGGGGTGAGAGATATAAAGGGTTGGGAAGAAACTTGGGAATCAGGAGAGTCTAATGGAAGAGCGAGAGGGGTGTTGCGACAAATTAAACCCACAATACCCCTATTTAACTCCAACCTCTTCAAGTTCGGTTCGAGCAGCATTTTCGCTATTGTAGCTTTTATGCAGGACTTCTTTCCACGTTCATTTGGACATTGGTGGGGGTCTGAAGGGGTTTGAGAAAAACATAGAATAAAGCTACGGAACTTTCAGGTACTCTGGTATTTGACGAACCGTTAAATATTTCATGAAAACATTGTGGCATTGAAATTGTTCGATTGCACGCGGCTCGTCCCAAGAAGTTAAAACGAACCAATTCATTCGATTCAAATTAGGTTGGCTCGAAACGAACCAAACCGCAGTTTGAAACTTAGCCCACGTGTAGTTGGAATTGCAGATTGACTCAAACGGCAGAAACCACATAAAACTGGTGGATGGTGAATGGATGACAAGACAAGGAATAGCTCCCACACACCTGCGGCGTTAGTAGGTGACACGGCAGTAACAGGACCGCCAGCAGAGCAGATCACAGGGAGGTTTAGGCCTCGTGGAAGGTAGGCAGGTGAGTGAAACACGACCATGATCAGCAGCAGCAGCAACAACAACAGCCGTGCGAGAAACAAATGGGTGCACGAGTACGGAAGGGAGATTGACACACACACCACTCACAACACAACACACAGATTCGTTCACATGCCCAGACACACCCCTGCTTGCTGCACCCACGTTGAGGGGGTAAAGGAGAGTTACCAGAGCAGTAAAAGGGAAGATTAGGTCCACTTTGAATGCCCACTGCAATGTTGGAAGGAGGATCAATCACGCAGTCTCCACCGGTGCCCCATCACAGGGGAGGGACGCCAGTGATAGTGCCGCAGATGGCGCACTGAGCAGCAAGTCGCTGAAGGGTTCCGCTAAAGGCGCACTTGGATGGATCAGTGCAGTTGCACTTTCCGCTGCAGACGGTAGCACTGGGCATGTCTGTAATGAAGTTGTACTTGAAGCGTAACATATACATGGCTGCAGGCAGGGGTGGGATGGTGCCAGTGAGGTAGTTGTACCCAAGGTCCCTGCAACGGACGCAGAGTTAAGGGATAGACAAGTGAGCAGAGGAAAGCACAGGTTGGGGGACAAAAGGGGTTGTGAATAATGATGATGGTGAGGGGCTGGGTGCAATGGGAGATAACAAGCAGAGTCGAGAGAAGGACAAGGGCAGGAGAGGGGAGGAGCGACCTTTACTTACAGAGTCGAGAGTAAGGGGAGATCCTTGAGAAATGAAGGGACCTCTCCGGAAAAATAGTTGTAAAGAAGTGATCTGCCGCGTAAATGGCAGCGTAGTTGGTGGGCAGATTGATGACACTCACTCACTCAATGCTGGGTCAACGCTTGACCATTTCTGCCCCAGTCATGAATTTGCGGCTACATTGATAAATCGTGTTCATGCCACAGCCAAGTGCATAGCTTCTTACCCCTTCATCAACTATGCTATTCATTTTACCATTCTCAACTCACATTTTCTTGACTACTCGTATTCTCTTAGCTGATTATTCGCACTCACTCCCAAGGTTAAAAAAAAACGTCGTTTTTTTTTTTTTTTTTTTTTAAATTTACCGTACAAAACGGCCGTAAATAACAACCGTAAAAAACGGTTAAAAGGGTTCCAGAAGGTGGTTTCGTTTGAAGAAAAAATCGGCCGATTTCTAGGACCAAATTGATGGCGAAAGGTACCAGGATGAACCCCTCCTTGCATGCGTGTGCTTGTGGGCATGATTGAAAATGTATTCGACCTTGTTTTCCCCAATTTTTGTTGGTGACAACAGTTCTCTAACAAAAAAATGCTGTTTTTTTGGAAAATTACTGTAAAAAACGGACCGTTTTTTTTCGAAAACCGTATTTTTGAACCTTGCTCACTTCACTGTTCACACTTACTTCAGTACTCACACTCTCTTGGATACTCACATGCCCTTTAGTTGTGTAAGCCCCTTGATGTTGGAGAGGAAGGCATCCAAGCGACCGCTGAGGGTTTAAAACTTACATCTCTGGTTGAAGACAGGCAGATTGGGAAACAGGGCAGTGCAGGTGTGACATGGCATTAATGTCAACGGGAATTGTGTTTGGCCCCGTCCTCTCTTGGGCGGAGCCGTAAAATCATGGGGGGACCGCGGTGGCCGCGAAGTCACGAGGGGACCGTGGTGGCCGCGAAATCGCGGGAGGCCGCGGTGGCCGCGAAATCACGGGAGGACCGCCAAATACCCGGTCAACCAGGATACCTGGACGACGCGCGCGAATGTCGTCAGGGTGTTTTTGCAAGTACGATTTCGGGGGTGGTATCTCGAGGTCGACGTGGCTGGTGGGCGCCGTCACGGGTGAAGTGTCTGCGCTGGGCGTGTGACGGGGAGTTGGGCGCCAACCAGCAGCGTGCACCTGCGAAGCTGGTTCACACCGCGGACGGGCAACATTGGCAAGCCGTGACTCTGCTCTGTTGGAGCACGGTCGACCAAGTCGTGCTGGCACGCGGTCGACCGTGCTGCACTGGCAGTCGACCAGCAGCCCTGCTAGGTCTAATGTAGTCTGTGTTGCCAATGTTGATGCTAATCATTCTGAACCTTTGTTGTCATGTTTTCCTAGTGAAACTCTTGCCAATTCTCCCCGTGAACTAGCAAGCACTGTTAGCACTTGGAAACGACTAAGGAACGAGCGAACGCAGAGATCACACGAGCATCTGTGCCTAACCCGTAGTCTAGCTCCCATTGCACCATATATCTCCGCATGGTGCGGTGAGCATGGACGACACCGTGAATAGACCTTCGGTTTAGCTGACTTATCACTCACCCCGTTTGTTCATAGACCGACGGCTGTGTTAGACGCCATGGTGGACCCCGTAGCAGAGGCGGGTGTCGTGGACACCTTGGAAGCAGGGCTGGAGAACGCGAGGAGACGTCATGCGGCGAACGAGTACGGAACTCTTCCGCTGACGGTGGTCGAGGCTGGCATCCGCGCCTTGTGGGCGGCAGAGCACCCCTCTTTTTGGCCTGTATCTCCTCGACCGGTGAACAACGCAGGCGGCGTCGACGCGGGAGTCAACGCCGCGGGTGACCAAGTCGGTAGCAGCGCGGGAGGCACGTCGAGGCAGCGAGGTGTGATTCGCGCCGATGAAGTCGGCGGCATTCAGGCACGAGGGATGCAGTCATCGGCGGCTGCAGAGGCCTCGCGGAACTACGTCGGAGGCAGACGAAGTGAATTGTCGCCGATGTCGGCGACTCACGTAACCACTGGAGGAATCGCACCGAGCTACGGCTACTTCAAGTTTACGCCGGACAGGATCTCGGTCTCACCTCCGCTGGTCGGTCATCCCGACATCCTCACGTGGAAGGAAGCCATCGAGCCCCAGCTGGAGATGGCCGGGCTGATGGGCCTCGCCCGCGGGACCATGGCGACGCCGGGGGAGCACTACCCCGACCTGCGAGCAGAACTTCGCGCCGTATAGTTGCTGACCTTTACGATCATTTCGCGGTGCTGCTCACCGGGCGTACAGATCACCCTGAAGTCGTGCAGGGAGTACCTCGACGCTGGCCACTGGGCGTGGCATTTCATCGAGTCAACTTACCAGGTCACCGACGACTTGTTCATCGCCCAGCTTGAAGGGCACTTCACGCAACTGCGTATGGGCGACGAGGAGACCGCGACTGACTACTGCAACCGCGCTCATCGAATTCTCGCCACCATTCGGATGGCTGGCGCGGAGTACTCGACAGCGTCGTACGTTACGCACGTTATGCTGGGACTCCCGAGAAGCTACAACCTGCTGAAGCGGCTGTCGATGGCGCCGAGCATGCGAGCGACGCTCAACGAGGACACATTGACCTCGTACATCCTGCAGGACGAGGCGATGCATGCGGCTGAGCGGTCCCAGGAGCTCCTCGCACAAGTGAATTTCGCGGCCCCCGTGAAACAAGGTGGTCGACCGGGACAGCGCGGGCAGTCTGGTGGCAGCCGCCGCGGTGGTGGGAAGCTGGCGAAGGATGACAAGCAGAAGTCGGCCAAGGATAGTGGTCGTGGAGGAGGAGGCCGACGTCGAGAAAGCTGGCTGTGCGGCGATCCCGATCACCTCTCCTTTGAGTGTCCCGACTGCAGTGACTCGGACGACGACGAAACCAAGGGAGGCCGCGGAAGGTCTGGCAGCCGTCGTTTGCGTCAAGGAAACCAGCCGCGAAAAGAGAAACAGTCGACAAAGATGACCTCGGCGAAGGACGCCGACTCTTCTGCGGGTAACAAAGGGCGAGGCGACAAGGAGGTGTCGTGCTTGCTGGTCGGTATCGTGGAGCCGACCGTCTCGCTGGCGCCGGAGGCTGGCGAGGATTTCGAGGCGGTGGCGGCAGCTGTGCAAGCGAACCCCGCGGTGGTTCTGCTCGACAGCGGCTGCTCGCACCATCTGATGGGGACGAAGGAGGCCTTCGTCGACTTGGGGCCGAGTGGCGACGTGAAGCACGTGCGTGGCTTCAATGGGGCGCTGCAGGTCGTTCGCGGCCGTGGCACAGTTGCGCTGCAAGGGGAGGCCGGGAAGCGAGTGCTCATCTCCGACGTTCTCTACGTTCCGGGTGTGCAGGCGAATCTGCTTTCGGCTGGTCAGTTGAAGGAGAGCAAGGTGACGCTGAAGGACGACGATGACCGGATGCTGCTCGTCTCCGCGTTGGGGGACGTGCTCGGTCGCGTGACGTATACTGGCCGAGTCCTCTGCACTGACCTGCGCCCATGCGCGGTCAAACCAGCGACGCCCGTGAAAGAGGAGGTGGCTCTGCGGGCGATCGTCTCGGCGATGAAGGCAACCCCGAACAGGCTGCACGCGAGGCTGGCACATGTTGGCATGGACACCATACGGAGCTCGGCGAAGCACGAGGTCGCCACTGGGCTGGACCTCAAGTCGGTGTCTGGCGCCGACTCACCATGTGTTTCGTGCATCGGCGGGAAGCTGGCGCGGCATACCTTCTCCGACCACGGCTCCGAAGCCGACGACGTCCTGGCCGTCGTGCGCATCGATTTGTGCGGGCCATTTCGCGTGGCTCCCAAGGACGGCAGCCTGTACTTCTTGCTGCTGAAGGACCACAAG